TTGTTGTCATTATTGATTTCTTTACTACTTATACAAATATCAGTAGTTTCAAACAAAACATCAAAACACCATATTCTAAAACATCGTTCAATTCATACGAATGTTCAGATTAACTCAACTGTACTATTCAGGTATCGTGTTCAATTTCATATTTCGGATGATTTTGAAGAGAATCACTACACAATTTTTCAGAATTCTAAATTAATCATCATCATCATCATCATGCACCGCATCAGGAGTAGTGTGGCGAGTTATCAATCCATATTTATTGCATGATTAGTTGAAAATCATTGTGCGATGGATGAAAGATGGTTTTGGTTACGATCAAGATAGATACTTGTACCTTTTTGATGATGAAAGATATCACGAAACATTATAATATTATCTCACTAATAAACATTAACTTCAGTATGATCAATTGCAGTAACTTATATATAGTAACACAGAATTAGTGTAACAGGAAGTTACCTTTGAATGAATGTCAATTGACGTTGATTTTAGCAAATTGATGAAAGATGAATACAGTTCAGAATAGAAATATCCAAAGTAAACTAATGATAAACAATCAAAACCATTACAATTTGGATACAATACACTAAGTTAATGTGTTTGTTAGTAACCTCAACGACATATTGTAATATTCGATAGACTGATGTGTATTTAAACAAAACTGATATTATCTATTGAACGAACTGGTTTGCCTATGAAATATATTGTGAAGAGGTAAAATGGCGATTATTTCTATTGTAACCTACCAATTCATAAAAAACTGCAAATGATTTCTATCAGGAACTGATTCTTTTCATCATTTACATGTGAACGCTTGAGTATACAATGATGTTTGCCAGATTTCTTTTTCACCAAGAATCATGAAAGCTGGGTTTTTTTTTCTTGGAATCGAATATTTAAACCTTGTTCTCACCCCATATTGCCTAAGTACTCGGGTGTAATTTCTTAGATAATAAATTATCATTTAAAGAGAATCAAACGGACACTATTACTTCAACTCTGATACAACTGAGTAGTATAGAAACGACACTGCATTAGTGGCAGTAAAATATTCAACTCCCTTTTTATAAGAAACGTGGACAAAAACATTCATTAGTTTAGTCCATTGAAAAATGTTTTATTACTTATTGAAGTCACTTGGTGACTATTCTGTATTACTTACTTACTTACGTCTGTTACTCCAAATGGAGCATAGACCGACGACCAGCATTCTCTAACCCACTCTGTCCTGGGCCTTCTTTTCCGATTCCATCCAATTCTTGTTCACTTTTCTCATGTCCATCTCTATTTCCCGGCATAATGTGTTCTTTGGTTTTCCGCTTTTCCTTTGGCCTTGAGGATTCCATGTGAGGACTTGTCTTGTGACGCAGTAGGGTGCTTTCCTCAATATGTGTCCCATCCACTTCCAGCGCTTCTTCCTGATTTCTTCCTCCAATGGGATCTGGTTTGTTCATTCCCACACTTGGTTGTTGTCTCTACCTGATACGAATTGAACTCCAATGGTTACAGCTTTTCGCTAGAACTCCGAGAATTCCCTTAACGAAGCCAGTCACTGAGTTATTATCTTGACATTTTAAATGAATGTATGTTTGTGGCAAATCATGTAGATAAAAGTACATTCAAAATCTTTAAAAAAGAAGAATATCAAGTAGCATTCTAAGATATTTAAAAAGAATTTTGATGATCTTTACTTATTTTCTGTTGAATAATTGATATTGAAATGATTTTGACTAGTTGTGTAACCCAATTTCTCTTATCCCTTAGAATGTTAAAAATAGTAATGATGAATTAATTCAGCACTTTCAATAAAGAGGATTGAATCAACAACAAAAAAGTAACAGTTTTCCTTTTAAATTTTTATCTTTTTCTTAAAAAATCCAAAATCATTTACAAACACTTGGAAACATCAGAAATTAGATGTTAATGAAATGAAAGTTGAAGTAAAACAAAAAAGGGTAACAAAGAGAAGAGGAACACGGTTTCATCATACAGAAAGAATACGGAATGGTCACTTTATCTAAGGTCATGGAAGGACTCAAGGATTATCAGGGTAAATTCAAGATTACAACAAATTCTTTTTGTACACATAACGATGATTTAAATGTACGAATAGTCAAGGCTGCAATAAACCTAAGAATTCGTTTTTGACAATTTCTACATAACGTTTTAAAAGCTGTAATAATATCAATTTTTGCCATATTTCAATTATATATTCGCTATATATGTCATGTATACCTTGGTAATGTTATTGACACTGATTGTAGTATGTCGTGAATTATCAGAGTCTTGAACATATGTGTTGTGTTGGTCGGTATCCGATATAATCCTTAAACTTCGTATACAGTTCGTTTTTATAACCGTTCTATATAACGACCCAACGGTGTATTAATCAGAAGGCGAATACGAAGTGTTGATTACGTTTATTACGGCACCAAACACACAGATATCCAAATATTACAGATGCGTTAAACAAGCATAGAAGAGTTGTGCTGAAAGGCAAGCAAGCGAGTGAGTGAGTCAGCGAATATGAATACGAGCATGCGCGTACAATTAAGCGAGCAAGAGCGAGAGCTAGATCAATGAATATGAATAACATGGACATGTATATACATAGTGAAATGAATAGGTCATCGAATCAAATAAGTGGTTAGTAGTACGACTAGCATAGTGAATAAATGCGAGGGCCGTAAGCAATATTCAGGCATACATGTCCATACATTCATAATAGTAATAAAGATACAATGATATAGACAAGTTGTTGTTAGGATGACTCAGCTCGTTAATAAGCTAATAAAATGACTTCATTGAATTCATTGAGAACATATTCAATTTCACGTGATCTTTTATAATAGTTCCCCCCTCTCCAGCAATCAGTGTCATTCTATTCAATCAAAATTACAAAATAAGACATCATTTCATCGAATTCATAATATAATAAGTGTTAAGATAAAGTGAAGTAATGGCAATCACCGGGGCATACCGATGTCTATCCGTATTTTGCAGATAGAAAAATAATAGAAGTATTTGTTTTATGAATATAAATATATGTATGTCTACTGATAATTACAAGCTATTCAAGCCTTTGACAAGAAATACAATGAATGGTACTTGTTGTACTTCGATTGAGGTTAAACATTAACACCATGGGATGCCGGCTCAGTGATCTAGAGTTTAACTGTTCACGCACAGGATTGATGGTCTTGTGTTCATATCCGGTGCGCGGGATCGTGAGTGCGCATTGCTGAGTAGTCCCAGACTTGGATAGAAACGCCGTATAGTGCTTCCAGGTTTTCAATGATGATTTAGCTTAAGTCGACCCGTGAACTCAACCGTTAAAAATACCACATCATCCACAACTCCTCTTATTTAAAATACAAATTACAATAATACATAATGGATAAAATCCACAATGTTCAGCTTTGATTTATTCACGTCATCGGAAAAGATTTTGTATTTTGTTTTATTATCTGTTTTTCAATAAATTATTGTCAATAAGTTTTTTTTAGTTAGTTAGTTACACACTGGTATTTACATCAGAATTAACGATCTATACTTAACTCAGTTTGTCTTTGTTTATTGGAATTACTTTACACATTAATGGATGGGGGAAGAACTGAGGTATTCTTCAAGTGCATGTTCTTAAAAGAAATATATATATAACCGGTATCACTGGAGTTAGACATTAGCACTGCTAGATATCAGCTCAGTGGTCTAGAGGCTATGTGTTCATGTGTGAAACCGAGAATCCTAGGTTCAATATCCGGATACGAGTTCGTGGATGAGCACTATTGAGGAGTTCCATATAAAAACAAAACGGACGTCAAGTGCTTCCAGGTTTTTAGTGATGACTTAATTAAGATTAGTTTAGGATTTAAATAACGAGAATTCTACAATCTCTGCAAATCTGCATATACCGAGAACGAAAATTTGCATGGGAGTACCTATTAACGTGAAGTTTTTGTTAGTGCGTGCTACTTATATTGATATAAGTAGTATATGACGCGAGTCATAAACTTAATGTCTGGCAGCAGAAGATGAGACAAGATCAAGAAACGAAGAGCGGGAACACAAAGCAATTCGTAAAAAAAGTATGAACAATGAAATGTGAGACAGTGGATTGATGTTTATCACAGGAACAGTCCGATTTGACATGATGGACTGATATTTTGCAAATTGACTACAATAAAGTGTTTGTGTTTTTAGCAAGTAACTCTGTGATTTTGTGGTATGTACAAGTCGGTTTTCTAGAGTGCAACAGATGCCATATAAGTTTTAATTGTTAACTATTCTTAAGTACAGGACCAGATACAACAACAATCCACACAATCATTAAGTGAATGAAATAAACTATTTGTAGATAGAGAATTGTTTGTAATTTGTTCGTCTGTTATCGATGGACCACATAACGAATCTACAGTGAGATTGTTGAGGCATTTCAGAATAGGCATTGTACACAAATCAACATAAACACTACAAGCAATACTAAGCAAACTAAATGATGAATTCACAAAAGAAAACTCAAACATCATCTACAAAGTCATTTGCGTCAACTGTGAACATCACTACATCGAACAAAACGGATGGACTCTTCATCTTCGCCTGAATGAATATCAATTAGCGATCGTACGCTCTAACGTATCCAAGTTTCTTGCTTTGGATTTCTTCGATACGGTGAGATGTGTCACTCGTGCTTAAGTCAAAGGAGATTAATTAGACGGCTGTTGTACTTTTCATCATAATTACAACCTAATCGTTGTGCAAAATAAAATGTCAGCAGACTTTTGAGATTTCAGCAGATTATTAGTGAGGAATTTAAAAGTACAGAAATGAGAAATTTCCGACTATCGATTACTGCATAACGATACATAGTTTCACTCTTTAAATATGAAGAATAGTATGACCTGATTTACATTCACATAGTGTTAGCTGATTCTCAGTGACAAATCGATAAACAGTACAGCGCAATAAGAATAAATTGAATAGTGAAAATGTTAATTGACAAAGTTATTAAATGTAGTAGTAGTAGTAGTAGTAGTAGTAGTAGTAGTAGTAGTAGTAGTAGTAGTAGTAGTAGTAGTAGTAGTAGTAGTAGTAGTAGTAGTAGTAGTAGTAGTAGTAGTAGTAGTAGTAGTAGTAGTAGTAGTAGTAGTAGTAGTAGTAGTAGTAGTAGTAGTAGTAGTAGTAGTAGTAGTAGTAGTAGTAGTAGTAGTAGTAGTAGTAGTAGTAGTAGTAGTAGTAGTAGTAGTAGTAGTAGTAGTAGTAGTAGTAGTAGTAGTAGTAGTAGTAGTAGTAGTAGTAGTAGTAGTAGTAGTAGTAGTAGTAGTAGTAGTAGTAGTAGTAGTAGTAGTAGTAGTAGTAGTAGTAGTAGTAGTAGTAGTAGTAGTAGTAGTAGTAGTAGTAGTAGTAGTAGTAGTAGTAGTAGTAGTAGTAGTAGTAGTAGTAGTAGTAGTAGTAGTAGTAGTAGTAGTAGTAGTAGTAGTAGTAGTAGTAGTAGTAGTAGTAGTAGTAGTAGTAGTAGTAGTAGTAGTAGTAGTAGTAGTAGTAGTAGTAGTAGTAGTAGTAGTAGTAGTAGTAGTAGTAGTAGTAGTAGTAGTAGTAGTAGTAGTAGTAGTAGTAGTAGTAGTAGTAGTAGTAGTAGTAGTAGTAGTAGTAGTAGTAGTAGTAGTAGTAGTAGTAGTAGTAGTAGTAGTAGTAGTAGTAGTAGTAGTAGTAGTAGTAGTAGTAGTAGTAGTAGTAGTAGTAGTAGTAGTAGTAGTAGTAGTAGTAGTAGTAGTAGTAGTAGTAGTAGTAGTAGTAGTAGTAGTAGTAGTAGTAGTAGTAGTAGTAGTAGTAGTAGTAGTAGTAGTAGTAGTAGTAGTAGTAGTAGTAGTAGTAGTAGTAGTAGTAGTAGTAGTAGTAGTAGTAGTAGTAGTAGTAGTAGTAGTAGTAGTAGTAGTAGTAGTAGTAGTAGTAGTAGTAGTAGTAGTAGTAGTAGTAGTAGTAGTAGTAGTAGTAGTAGTAGTAGTAGTAGTAGTAGTAGTAGTAGTAGTAGTAGTAGTAGTAGTAGTAGTAGTAGTAGTAGTAGTAGTAGTAGTAGTAGTAGTAGTAGTAGTAGTAGTAGTAGTAGTAGTAGTAGTAGTAGTAGTAGTAGTAGTAGTAGTAGTAGTAGTAGTAGTAGTAGTAGTAGTAGTAGTAGTAGTAGTAGTAGTAGTAGTAGTAGTAGTAGTAGTAGTAGTAGTAGTAGTAGTAGTAGTAGTAGTAGTAGTAGTAGTAGTAGTAGTAGTAGTAGTAGTAGTAGTAGTAGTAGTAGTAGTAGTAGTAGTAGTAGTAGTAGTAGTAGTAGTAGTAGTAGTAGTAGTAGTAGTAGTAGTAGTAGTAGTAGTAGTAGTAGTAGTAGTAGTAGTAGTAGTAGTAGTAGTAGTAGTAGTAGTAGTAGTAGTAGTAGTACTAGTAATATTAATATTGGGAGAGTAGTAAAATTACTATTCCCAGATAACAAAATCAACAAAATACCAAATTCTTATGAGATTGATGGGGAAAAAACAAAAGAGAATAAGAGTAGAACTATTTACAACAAATGAATTGATAATCGAAAAGAAAAACACACACACACACAAACATGTAGATGAATGATGTGAAAATTCATTTATAACTAATCATGAGGTTGAAGAATTATATGGATGTATTTATATACAGCAACACTTGAAAGGATAATACTATTTCAACGAAACACATAATAACGATAAAAGGGTTGACTAAGAAGAGGAAAAAATGTAGGATCTATACCGACAAGACGAATGCACAACAAAAGCGTCCTTATTTTCTAACATTTGGTTTTAACAAACAAAAACAAAAACAACGTCGGGATAAAGAATAATGTACAAAGTGAAAGAGAAAGAGACTAAGAGATAAAAGTGAGGATAGTCGAGAAGACTAATAAATTATTGTCTAAACAGACATAATGTCGCTAATGATTAATCATCAATGGATAACTTTCTTTTAAACATCATCCATTCATTCCCGATAAAGGTGTTAGGTGAGAAGAAAATATGAGAGCAAGAGGAGGTGGAGGAGAAGGAGGAGGAGTAGGAGTAGCAGGAGGAGGAGGAGGAGGAGGAGGTAGATATCAAACATATTTTTAAATTGATTAATCTTTTTTTCTTCTTCATTTAATTCATTTCATATGACGTCTAGTGTTCGTTCTAAATATACGGAGATGTATGATAGATAGTATAATAAAATGATTAATAATAATAATAATAAATCTTATTATTATCAGAATGGGTTTTGTGGAGAAGGCAGTAGGTCCTGGGTTCGAGCCCCGCGTGGTCCGGGATCGTGGATGCGCACTGCTGAGGAGTCCCATACTAGGATGAAACGGCCGTCCAGTTCTTCCAGGTTTTCAATTGTGGTCTAGCTTCAACTGACTCATGATTTCAATCTGTGAAATATTATTATTATTATTATTATTATTATTATTATTATTATTATTATTATTATTTTGTATTGATATCATGATTTGTAAATTGAAATCGAGGTTATTTTGTTTTGATATTCAAGTTTTTTTTACATTATCCTTATAAGTGTAGATAAATTATTCGCTATTTCTATAGCAAATTAACAAGTTTAAACAAGAATATGAAGAAACTATGTCAAGTGTAAATGATCTTTTTGATAATTATATAAATAAAATGAGATTATGGTCAAATGACGTTGATATTGCCTAGTTATAAATGGATTCATTGGCTAAATGTTATGTATCATGTAGGCAAAATCAAGTGAATATTGATAATACATTAATTTAATGATGGTGGTTAGACAATAATTAATCTATATCGTTGCTGGACATCCATCTATAAATAGAGAGTATTATAATTCACTTGATATTGATGTTTTAGGACTGAAATTGATCACTCTGTTATTAGCATATTTGGGTTGACATTAAGTGACCGGCCAATATGATTCCCTACCACGCATTTCAAAAAAATGGTGGGGTGTGAGATTAGGTAGGTCACAATCGATTACAACAACTCAAATACAATCATACCTTGTCTTTCCATAGATTTCATTTTTCAAAATCATTTTAAACTTTTTATTCCATGAATTCGTCTTTTCAACTTATTATTATGTTTGATAATATGTCTGTTAATACTTCTGTCATTCTGGTATTTTGCTCCATAATTTCATATTGCCATTATGATATCATATGAAAATAAGAACCATCGTACAAATATCATAGATTCTATATTTTCCTACAACTGATTAACTATAGAACGGTTTTACATTATTTCTTGTACAATACAGTTTTATGTAAGTGATTCCAAACTATGAACTTTGATAATAATAATAATTACAATCACCACCTAATATAATTGATAATATAAATCTAATTGCTAGCCACTATCCATCATTGCTTACAAATAGCTTGTGAATTAAGGCAATATCGAGGCATACGCACAGTATGCACATATGCCAATAACAGACTGATCAATTTCATTCCTAAAACATCAATGGGAAGATTGAAGTAAAACAATACCAAACGAATTCAACTTGAACCCATTGCACAAGCAAGTGGCTATGAGGACACTGTAAAAGCTCAGTGGATAAAGCGATGGCGTTTGATGCGAATGGTACTGGGTTCGAGTGCCACAGGGAACATCACATCTGAGATGAAGGAACATCTAGCTGACGAGTCGCAAATATTGCTGAACGTGTGTCAAACTGCATTCTACTGCTAGCCACTATCCATTTTTGCCAATAATAATGCTTGTAATTTGAGGCAATATCGAGGCATACGCACAATATGCACATATGCCAATAACAGACTGATCAATTTCAGTGGTAATCATCGATGCAAATATTCAAGGAAAAGTATACCAAAACTTTATTGATACATAAGTCTATTAAACATGTTCCTTTTACCTCCTCAGTTTTCGTTCGTTATGCTTAGTATCTTATAAATGTTTAAACGTTCAAAATGTCAAAAGTCTAAACATTACTATCACATTTTTGTCCATAACATTTATCAAATGGATCCGATCAAAGTCTGATAATGAAATGAATTTAAAATGAACATGGCTTTGAATGAATCACTTTTGATATTATACTGCTGATTCTTATGTAAGTATTTCAAAAACAAACATTGTTTCATTAGAAGGCTAATCCACTTTTCAAGCGCTAAATATATATATAATTATTATCTATTATTATTTAGATTATTAACATAAGTATACAATATAGTGAATTTTTGCTAAGCTTTTTGATTATTCATGTTCTTTATGTTGGTATCACTACGAGATGAGTACCAAATGCAAACATCATGAAAAATTAACACAGAGGAAATAATTTTTCTCAACTCATGAGAGTATATTAACATTCTTAACTTACAAATGTTTATTAATAATATATTCACGGTATCATACCCTTAAATAAGTCACTGATAGATGAGAACATTTATCCTGAGTCGCAGCAACACCAAATGTACCACCGGCTGACGACTTCCAAATAAATCGAAACGCGCGTCAAACTGCATTCCACCGCTAATCATTAGCCATGTTTACATATAATTCTTTAAAATAAAGGCAATACTGAGGTATTACGCTCGAAACATACCGAAACAAAACTCACATATATGACATATTTTGAAGGTAGGTATGTTTTTATTACTTATTGAAGTCACTTGGTGACTATTCGGTATTACTTACTACTACTACTACTACTACTACTACTACTACTACTACTACTACTACTACTACTACTACTACTACTACTACTACTACTACTACTACTACTACTACTACTACTACTACTACTACTACTACTACTACTACTACTACTACTACTACTACTACTACTACTACTACTACTACTACTACTACTACTACTACTACTACTACTACTACTACTACTACTACTACTACTACTACTACTACTACTACTACTACTACTACTACTACTACTACTACTACTACTACTACTACTACTACTACTACTACTACTACTACTACTACTACTACTACTACTACTACTACTACTACTACTACTACTACTACTACTACTACTACTACTACTACTACTACTACTACTACTACTACTACTACTACTACTACTACTACTACTACTACTACTACTACTACTACTACTACTACTACTACTACTACTACTACTACTACTACTACTACTACTACTACTACTACTACTACTACTACTACTACTACTACTACTACTACTACTACTACTACTACTACTACTACTACTACTACTACTACTACTACTACTACTACTACTACTACTACTACTACTACTACTACTACTACTACTACTACTACTACTACTACTACTACTACTACTACTACTACTACTACTACTACTACTACTACTACTACTACTACTACTACTACTACTACTACTACTACTACTACTACTACTACTACTACTACTACTACTACTACTACTACTACTACTACTACTACTACTACTACTACTACTACTACTACTACTACTACTACTACTACTACTACTACTACTACTACTACTACTACTACTACTACTACTACTACTACTACTACTACTACTACTACTACTACTACTACTACTACTACTACTACTACTACTACTACTACTACTACTACTACTACTACTACTACTACTACTACTACTACTACTACTACTACTACTACTACTACTACTACTACTACTACTACTACTACTACTACTACTACTACTACTACTACTACTACTACTACTACTACTACTACTACTACTACTACTACTACTACTACTACTACTACTACTACTACTACTACTACTACTACTACTACTACTACTACTACTACTACTACTACTACTACTACTACTACTACTACTACTACTACTACTACTACTACTACTACTACTACTACTACTACTACTACTACTACTACTACTACTACTACTACTACTACTACTACTACTCCTACTACTACTACTACTACTACTACCACTACTACTACTACTACTACTACTACTACTACTACTACTACTACTACTACTACTACTACTACTACTACTACTACTACTACTACTACTACTACTACTACTACTACTACTACTACTACTACTATAGCTAATAATAGTAGTGTGTTTAAAAAGAGGCAAACCAATGAATATATCTAGACAATGACATATGAACAATCGTTTTTTCTAATAATCATTTTTTTTATTCTATGTTACGTAGGCCTGGTATACCATCTAGATCAGTGAGTAAAGTTCATTAATATTAGTGTATATATTGAAGAAAAAAAACGTTTACAGCGATCAAACCAAGTCAGCAGATTTATCCATAAGGTTATTAAATGTTGGAAAATATTTTATCTCAAAATCAAGATTGTTTCGGGGGAGGAATGTTTTGTTCATTAATCTGGATGATTTAGTTCATATGATTTGATGACTTAAGCCACTATCAGGCTAATCACACGTTCTTCACAGGAGAACTAATGAAGCCGGATAGAGACAGATGATTTCATGAAGTCCATTAGGTTTTCAAGGCATATGACTAAATCTCCCATTCATACACACTGAAAATATAGTAATGCATAACCTTATTGATCTGTATCAGAAATCAATGATTTTTCAAGTCGATT